AAGTCAGCAACGCACATACAAATATTGTATTTACTATGGAACATGAAAATGATGGAAAGTTCCATTTCCTTGACGTTGCCATGCAACACCTAGAAGATGGTAGACTCCAGAGGTCAGTCTACCGAAAGCCCACATGAAATGAACAATACTTACATTTTAATAGTTTTTTCCAAATAGCTATAAACGAGCACTAGTCAAGACTCTGTTCTATAGAGCGAGGAGAATATGCTTATAGAGAAATTAGAGGAAGAATTTATGTACCTTGAGAAAATCTTGAATAGCAGTGGTTACCCTAAAAGATTCATTAACAAGTATGGAAGATGTGAAGTCACAAATGTAAAAAAATCACAGTTGGTGAAGAGCCAATCTACATTCAACTTCATTATAAAGGTGAAAACATCGCAGCAATGATCAACAGAAGGCTGAATAAATCACTAGCCATAGCCTATCCTGTAGCTAAGCTTGTTCCTGTCTATAGAAAATCTTGCTCCTTCTCATGTTAACTCCAACTGTTTGTACAAATTTACGTGTATCTGCGGGAGCAGTTACATTGGAAGGACAGAAAGAAGAAGGGCATATCTACGATTTTCTGAACATGTGCCGAAAAGCCTACGTCTCAAAGGAACAAACTCTTATAATAGTGCTATTACCAGACATCTCGTAGACACGGGTCATGCGGTGGAAATTGAGAAATCCTTCAAAATTATCAATAGAAAAAGGAGCTCCATTCTCCTCAAGTTTACCGAAGCAATTCCCACCAAACACTTGAAACCAGATTTATGTGTTCATAAAGAAGCAGTTATTAGTCAGTCTTTCCTTGCTAACCTGGTAACTGGATGTCTTTATTCTTTCTCTCATCTGATTACGTAATCTTTGTCTTTAACCTCACCCTCTGTAATTTTGCTTGTCTCTTATTTCCATGATTTGAGCTGAACTCAGTACATTGTAACCAAATTTATCAGTCACTCAGCATCTAACGTGAACCTCGTCTTTATTACGTAACTCCTTCACCATAGTATGCATATATTTATTTTGTTTACAATTGGACTCCCTGTGGAAAAACTATATAAGCGTAAATTTCTCAGCACTGTTCACTAATTGTGGAACATTCTATCAACTGACAAAATGTAAAATCTGCAGGTATGTTAAAACGTTTCTGTACCTAAACGTCATAATTTATTTAGGCTGAAGGCAGCTGAGCTGATGAGAAGCCAACGAAATAAGCAATGATGGTACCATCTTCTTATTCTGCACAAACCACTCTGTTGTTTCTGCTTTATTCAAATTCCAGTTGACAAGTCTTGATACATTGAAGTTGTTTCTCTGATGACAAATTGTTAATTTAAGTGATCTCTAATTCAACCGTAGTGCATTTTATCTTAATGCAAAATTCGTATCGGGATACAAAATAATCCCAATAAAATGTTTGATTCACTCTATTTCTGACGAATGCACAGAATGTCATTCACACTGACGCCAGTTGGAGAGAACTACAAACACCCAAACAGCACTACTGAACTACAGTACGCTGAACAAAGGAGTTAAGAAGAGTGCCAGGAAAGACAAAAGAAAATATTATGAAGCCATGTCAACTGAAGCAGAACAAACTGCAGTGCAGGTAAAAAAGACCTCGCCACACTCTACCAAACAACTAGGCACCTATCGGGCAAAAGTTCGACACAAATCAAGCCAGTGAAGGATGATAATGGAAAGTCAATCACCAAAAGAGTGGAGCAAAGAAAACACTGGACTGAACACTAAAAGAATTCTAAATCGTCCGCCACCTACAACGCGCCCAAGAATACCAACGACGGAAACAGAACTACCAGTGAATATCAGGCTTCCCCCTCTCGAGAAAGTCAGAAGTCATGATGCTCATGAGCTGGAAAAACAGCGGGACCACTGAAAATGGGCCCAGAGACATCAGTGGATTTCGATGACACCACCACTGTATAAGGTGTGGAAAGAAGGCAAGGCTACTTATTCGAACTGCCAAAGAAAGGATATTTAAGTCAATGCATGGACTGGTGGGGAATTATGCTCCTGTCCATCTAAAAAAATACTAAGCCACATCATCCTCGAGAGAATCAAACACGCCAACCTGGATGAAAAACTTCGACCGGGACAGGCTGGATTCAGGAGAGACAAGTAATGTATTGATCAAGTCGTCACACTATTCATCATCATTGAACAAAGCTTGGAATGGCAGTTACCTCTCTATCTCAACTAAATCGACTTTGAAAAGGCTTCTACAGCGTCGATCGAGTGTTCATTTGGCAACTACTTCGCTACTACGGGGCGCTATCGACAATTATACATCTCATCCAACAGTTATACGACAATGCTGCATGCCAAGTAATCCACAACGGGAAACTTGTGGAACCCTTCGAAGTGAGGACGGGAGTGAGGCAAGGTTGTCTACTGTCGACAATGATTTTCCTGATTGCAGTAGATTGGATAATGCGACAGACAGCGGCGGGCAATGAGGAAACAGGCATAAAATGGACTCTCATGAAAAACTTGGAGGATCAGTACGTCGCCGATGATATATGTCTGATTTCCCACAAACTGGAAGATATATAAATGAAAAGCAACAAGTTGGCAGAAGAAGCATCAAAGATAGGACTCCAAGTAAACTTAGAGGCCAACAGTAACAACAACAGACAACAATCAGCCAGCATAAATGGGAGGAACCTGAAAGAAACAATCTCATTTACATACCGACTTTGGAAGCATCGTTTCAACTACAGGCCAACGGAATTGACGAGGACAGCAAAGCAGGGAGGATCGGAAAAGCAAGACAAGTTTTCATTACTCTAAAGTCTGTGTGAAGATCAGCCCTCAGCACTCAGCATGAAAAGTAACATTCGGATAATCAACTCCAATGTGAAGTCAGTCAGAGACTTAGGCAGCGCGTCATCAAGAGCATCCGAAACAAACAACATACCTTCATTAACAGTTTTCTTCGCTCAATACTACTCAAGTTCAGATGGCCAGCCGGAAAAGATCAGCAAAAAGGATCCTTGGCAATGAGTAAACCAACCAACCAGGAATCGGTTGTGCAACAAATAATCAGGAAGAAATGGAGGTGGATTGGCTGGCCATACTCTGAGGAAACCATCAAGTGGCATCACTAGACAAACCATCACTCAATTGGAACCCACCAGAAAGGGAGGCTGAGAGTTGTTCGTGAAAGCGAGGGTGATATTGAGGAGGAGGTGATGTGAAGAGGAGATGAAAGGATGTGGGCAGACTTGGAGCGGGGTGAAAAAGTTGGCGGAAAACCGAAGGCAATGGAGACGTTTGGCTGAAGCCCTATGTTCCTCTAGGAATTAAAGGATATATTAATAAACAATACTACTGAACAGTTCAGTGAATGATCACAAACTCAGAAACGATCAACACTGATTCAAAGACAAACTAATAGAGAGCATTCTACCATCACTAGTCAGCCTCTCTGTATCGTCTTAAATGGTGTTACAGTAAGAGACAATAAATTAACGAAATTTAACAGTTTTTAATGAAATATTTATGGAATATTTGTGCAGTAAATTATTACCAAGCTTCCACGATTCAACACAATACAACCCAGCACATGAGGCAATGTCCACAGGCAGAGTATGTTGCACTGACTGACAAATTGAACCTGGGTACCTCTCAGCAAACAGTTCACACTACGCAGAAGTATTTGAGTGGAATATTCTTCAATGTTCTTATAAAAGTAGCATTAAAATTCATCACATAAAAATGTGTGTATCCATAGATGAAACCAGATGTAAGGATGAATGAATGAAGTGCTAATCCATGGTTAGTCTCCCCCAACACTCTTACATGAGAGTGTCAATTTTGTGCTGTGAAAGAATGAAATGACGCATCAAAAGTATTGAATTTATTTGGAAGCATAATTTGTGAGTGTTGTTAATTGACAATAAGATTCTCAATTATCTCCATGATTACGCTTATCCATCCATAGTCAATCTATGAGCTAAGGTGTAGTTTGTGTTTTTAAATCTAGTGTAATTTAATTAGAAGATATGTGATGGGAGACAGCTTTAACGTGTGCATTCGGTAGCAATACTGTCTGTCATTAACAATAATGAAGAATGGAAAGATGTGACAATAATAAGACGGTGTGGAATACAGTCAAATGTTGGTGCTGACGTAGTTTGGGAAGCTCCTTCTACCCCTCGAAATCATTTACCTAACCGCAGTATAAGATGACGTGCAGTAAAGAAATTCTCGCATGAATAGTAAGTAATACAAGGCAATCCGAGAAATTCAGTTATAGTTTATTTTCGTTGTTCGTTTTGCCTCGTCGTGTCTTTTGAAGGCAATGATGGATGTGAGTCTGAGAACAAAGGATGCACTGTTGTACTCAACCTCACTTCAAACTATTTTCTTGACGCCAAAAGACTGGGTGGGACCGTTCTTGAGTCACTCGTGACATGTTCAGGGAGAACTTAAACACTTCTATTGACAAACTTTAATGTCTTTTGTTATGTTCGCCAATGAATTTCATCGTTTCAAAAAATTCGATAATTCAATCATTCTGACTTGTAGGTTCCTCATAATCCTGATCGAATCAAATGAGTGAGATTCGTGCTAATTCGAGCACAAGATTGCCTTCTTATACAAATAAGTTACCGAAAAGCAAGTCACAATGATTTTAGGCAAGTTATCTTGTCGATAAAGAGAGAGGCCCTCAACAGTTATTAATAGAAATATTTGTTAACTGCAGATGAATATTTGCTGTTCAGTATCAAAAATCCTCTGTTTACTCGACAGTTTCCATCACATAGTCCTTCAATCAAGTCAACACAGAGGATGCCAGTTAGAATGCACCCTATGCTGTACATTAAAAGTAATTGGAATATACCGTAATTCTATGACGGATTGAGTATCGGTATAACGTGGACACTCACTATTCAGTGTTAAAATCGATCTGGTGAAGCTGTCTATCAGCAGATCCCGTTCAGTCATAGTAAGAAAAGTGCAAAAGGCTGAAATAAAACAGATGAATTGTGCATTATCGTTATTTATTAAGTAGATTTGAGAAAATTAAAACAAAAAAAATTTTAAGGTTACAGAAATAAAAACGACAAATTAAAAGTCAAATGGGAAATGTATGTCAATAGTTGGCGTGTAGAGAAAACATGGGTTAGTGCAAAATTGACATCAGATAAAAGACAGAATAAAAAAGTCTTGCAAATTGAGAAGGAACCTGAGCGCTAATTAAACAGCCACTGAAAATTAAAAAAAGAAAAACAGATTAGGCTAAGGCCCAGAAAAATGTATAAATATATAATTTATTTTAAAAAGAAAGCCAGGATGAAAACAGAAAAACTACAGAAAATATATAAAGTATGTGTGAAAAATTCCAAATGATACAATTAAAACACAGCCGGAAATGAATTAAAAAAAGGATATAAATATAAATTTCCACTTACTCCAATAATCCAAATCGTCAACAAATTTCACTACAAAATCAAAGAAAGTAAAGGTCAGCATGTTAGAAAATATGCAGGACGTGACGTTCGAGTGGAGACGCAGACGACAACTAAGCAGCAGTCATCACAACCATGTCTGACGGTATACAGACTGAATGATGCATCACTGTCTTCTGTCTCTTTCTCTCTCTCTCTCTTTCTCTGTGTCTGACTGTATGTCTGCTCACACTGAGTGGTTGGTGCATTTGAATTCCAGTCTCCAGCGTACTGACCTCCACAAATCGCCTGCATTCCAATCTACTGAGAGTTCAGGTGTTCCATTGACGGCTCAGCGACTATCCATCGCCTCCACGAAATGATTCAGACAAGCACAGTGTGGATCAGCCCAGAAACTGACGAAGTCTTTGTGGAATCATAGCTATGCACGCTGAGAAATTTGTAGCCACACACACTTGATAAGGAGATTGACGCAGTGAGACGCAGTGGGATGCGTCACTGGGATTTCACGGGGATATGAAGCCCGTGAGAACTACACAAGGTAGACGCAGAGTGACTGTCATATCAGAAGTGGCCGTGAATGTGGAGATGCTTGCTACCCGCGCCTCTCACTCAATCAGCGGGTGACGAAATCGACAAATGTGGGATGGCGTAGAGAGTGAATATCCGAAATCTGTGACAATGTTGTGTCCGATTCAGCTGCAAACGACCACATGGAAGGAGACGCGTTGACATTCTTCGTGTCGAGAATAGAATATGTGAAAAGAATTGACAGCCAGTCACTCAGTAAATCACTCACTGACACACTCAATCACTTACTCAGTCTATGTGTCCACTTTCGTGGAGATGGTGACTACTGTCTGCTGTGCAAGAAGAGTACTGAATGAAACATGTATCTCATGTTGTGCATTATTCCGACTTGCTCAAATCTCTTTCACAAAAGTCATTCATTTATTCATTGGTATAGCCCCATCGAATTGAGCCTAACTGCACGAATCCGAATAGACTTCGGATGGATGGAGTATGAAATGTGACACGAAGTGGTTCTACATAGTAGAAATATAATTTAAGCTGTGTCAATCAGTATCTGGAAGCACTTACCCGTTGTTGTTTCTTCTTCAACTTGTTCTTTTGTTGTGTTTGTTGGTGAGGATGTGGGTGTGGTGACTGGCAGATCTGTCAGAAGAGAAGGGAAGAGAAGAGAATAGAAGTAGAACAGACGTGTCTCATCAGTTGTCACACCACTGACCTACGTGATAAACGTCAAATATACACTTCCCACATCATCAAGACCATCATGTGACTGGACGTGAGTGAATTAGAGAGACAAGGGTGTTTGTTGTCTCACGTCAACCCGTGAAAACTACGCCCGGTAGACGCAGAGTGACTGTCATATCAGAAGTGGCCGTGAATGTGGAGATGCTTGCTACCCGCGCCTCTCACTCAATCAGCGGGTGACGAAATCGACAAATGTGGGATGGCGTAGAGAGTGAATATCCGAAATCTGTGACAATGTTGTGTCCGATTCAGCTGCAAACGACCACATGGAAGGAGACGCGTTGACATTCTTCGTGTCGAGAATAGAATATGTGAAAAGAATTGACAGCCAGTCACTCAGTAAATCACTCACTGACACACTCAATCACTTACTCAGTCTATGTGTCCACTTTCGTGGAGATGGTGACTACTGTCTGCTGTGCAAGAAGAGTACTGAATGAAACATGTATCTCATGTTGTGCATTATTCCGACTTGCTCAAATCTCTTTCACAAAAGTCATTCATTTATTCATTGGTATAGCCCCATCGAATTGAGCCTAACTGCACGAATCCGAATAGACTTCGGATGGATGGAGTATGAAATGTGACACGAAGTGGTTCTACATAGTAGAAATATAATTTAAGCTGTGTCAATCAGTATCTGGAAGCACTTACCCGTTGTTGTTTCTTCTTCAACTTGTTCTTTTGTTGTGTTTGTTGGTGAGGATGTGGGTGTGGTGACTGGCAGATCTGTCAGAAGAGAAGGGAAGAGAAGAGAATAGAAGTAGAACAGACGTGTCTCATCAGTTGTCACACCACTGACCTACGTGATAAACGTCAAATATACACTTCCCACATCATCAAGACCATCATGTGACTGGACGTGAGTGAATTAGAGAGACAAGGGTGTTTGTTGTCTCACGTCAACCCGTGAAAACTACGCCCGGTAGACGCAGAGTGACTGTCATATCAGAAGTGGCCGTGAATGTGGAGATGCTTGCTACCCGCGCCTCTCACTCAATCAGCGGGTGACGAAATCGACAAATGTGGGATGGCGTAGAGAGTGAATATCCGAAATCTGTGACAATGTTGTGTCCGATTCAGCTGCAAACGACCACATGGAAGGAGACGCGTTGACATTCTTCGTGTCGAGAATAGAATATGTGAAAAGAATTGACAGCCAGTCACTCAGTAAATCACTCACTGACACACTCAATCACTTACTCAGTCTATGTGTCCACTTTCGTGGAGATGGTGACTACTGTCTGCTGTGCAAGAAGAGTACTGAATGAAACATGTATCTCATGTTGTGCATTATTCCGACTTGCTCAAATCTCTTTCACAAAAGTCATTCATTTATTCATTGGTATAGCCCCATCGAATTGAGCCTAACTGCACGAATCCGAATAGACTTCGGATGGATGGAGTATGAAATGTGACACGAAGTGGTTCTACATAGTAGAAATATAATTTAAGCTGTGTCAATCAGTATCTGGAAGCACTTACCCGTTGTTGTTTCTTCTTCAACTTGTTCTTTTGTTGTGTTTGTTGGTGAGGATGTGGGTGTGGTGACTGGCAGATCTGTCAGAAGAGAAGGGAAGAGAAGAGAATAGAAGTAGAACAGACGTGTCTCATCAGTTGTCACACCACTGACCTACGTGATAAACGTCAAATATACACTTCCCACATCATCAAGACCATCATGTGACTGGACGTGAGTGAATTAGAGAGACAAGGGTGTTTGTTGTCTCACGTCAAGTCGACGAATATATTCACATGCTCACAAAACTCACCTTGTGTTGTTGTTTCTTCAACAATATCTTCCATCACTGAAATGAGAGAGATTGAAAATTGATAGTATCAGGAATAGCACCAGAGTGGGAATATGACTTCCACAGTGACTGGCACATTTGTCACACACTCTCATCTCACACCAATGTGGAACACACAAAACCGTCTATGTTTGTTGCTCGTGGCTCCTCTGCAATACACATCAACTGTCACATTCCTTTCACATCGCCTGCATTGATTGCATATTCACCTGAATCCACAGAATTCACACACTCACATTTTCAATTGCATGTCAGCCAATGTGTGATGTGTTATCCATGATGCTCACTCACTCACTCACTCACTCACTGACACACACACACGCACTTCGATTTTGCAGTTCACACCCTACGTCACCAGTCTGCTGCTCCACACACACGAGCATCTCACTTTCTTCTCTCTCTCTCTCTCTCATACACACACACATATACTGTCCAACTAATTATCACAGGTCAGATTTCACGGAAAGCATTCAGAATCAACTGTCTCTCACTCTCTCTCTCTCTCTGATATCACCACTCACTTGTCTTCAGACTATAGGTAAGAAGTGAAAAGTGGAAAAGATTTCATCCTTCTCACCTAGAGCATAGCACTTGCTGGGATAGATGTTTTTCACCCCTGAAAATAACAAAAACCAATCGTCGCCTGTTAACTCACATACGCTATTCACAGTATTCTTTATAAAAATAGTTTGACATGCAGAATTCACAACACAAAATCATGATGACGATAGATGTCAGATATCAGATCGTTAGACTCACCATAGATCTCCACTTCCTCATTGACGTTCACTAGTAGATGAAAACAAGTGTACGTGTGAATTGGTTAGAAAATATGCAGGACGTGACGTTCGAGTGGAGACGCAGACGACAACTAAGCAGCAGTCATCACAACCATGTCTGACGGTATACAGACTGAATGATGCATCACTGTCTTCTGTCTCTTTCTCTCTCTCTCTCTTTCTCTGTGTCTGACTGTATGTCTGCTCACACCGAGTGGTTGGTGCATTTGAATTCCAGTCTCCAGCGTACTGACCTCCACAAATCGCCTGCATTCCAATCTACTGAGAGTTCAGGTGTTCCATTGACGGCTCAGCGACTATCCATCGCCTCCACGAAATGATTCAGACAAGCACAGTGTGGATCAGCCCAGAAACTGACGAAGTCTTTGTGGAATCATAGCTATGCACGCTGAGAAATTTGTAGCCACACACACTTGATAAGGAGATTGACACAGCGAGACGCAGTGGGATGGTCACGAGGATATGAAGCCCGTGAGAACTACACAAGGTAGACGCAGAGTGACTGTCATATCAGAAGTGGCCGTGAATGTGGAGATGCTTGCTACCCGCGCCTCTCACTCAATCAGCGGGTGACGAAATCGACAAATGTGGGATGGCGTAGAGAGTGAATATCCGAAATCTGTGACAATGTTGTGTCCGATTCAGCTGCAAACGACCACATGGAAGGAGACGCGTTGACATTCTTCGTGTCGAGAATAGAATATGTGAAAAGAATTGACAGCCAGTCACTCAGTAAATCACTCACTGACACACTCAATCACTTACTCAGTCTATGTGTCCACTTTCGTGGAGATGGTGACTACTGTCTGCTGTGCAAGAAGAGTACTGAATGAAACATGTATCTCATGTTGTGCATTATTCCGACTTGCTCAAATCTCTTTCACAAAAGTCATTCATTTATTCATTGGTATAGCCCCATCGAATTGAGCCTAACTGCACGAATCCGAATAGACTTCGGATGGATGGAGTATGAAATGTGACACGAAGTGGTTCTACATAGTAGAAATATAATTTAAGCTGTGTCAATCAGTATCTGGAAGCACTTACCCGTTGTTGTTTCTTCTTCAACTTGTTCTTTTGTTGTGTTTGTTGGTGAGGATGTGGGTGTGGTGACTGGCAGATCTGTCAGAAGAGAAGGGAAGAGAAGAGAATAGAAGTAGAACAGACGTGTCTCATCAGTTGTCACACCACTGACCTACGTGATAAACGTCAAATATACACTTCCCACATCATCAAGACCATCATGTGACTGGACGTGAGTGAATTAGAGAGACAAGGGTGTTTGTTGTCTCACGTCAAGTCGACGAATATATTCACATGCTCACAAAACTCACCTTGTGTTGTTGTTTCTTCAACAATATCTTCCATCACTGAAATGAGAGAGATTGAAAATTGATAGTATCAGGAATAGCACCAGAGTGGGAATATGACTTCCACAGTGACTGGCACATTTGTCACACACTCTCATCTCACACCAATGTGGAACACACAAAACCGTCTATGTTTGTTGCTCGTGGCTCCTCTGCAATACACATCAACTGTCACATTCCTTTCACATCGCCTGCATTGATTGCATATTCACCTGAATCCACAGAATTCACACACTCACATTTTCAATTGCATGTCAGCCAATGTGTGATGTGTTATCCATGATGCTCACTCACTCACTCACTCACTCACTGACACACACACACGCACTTCGATTTTGCAGTTCACACCCTACGTCACCAGTCTGCTGCTCCACACACACGAGCATCTCACTTTCTTCTCTCTCTCTCTCTCTCATACACACACACATATACTGTCCAACTAATTATCACAGGTCAGATTTCACGGAAAGCATTCAGAATCAACTGTCTCTCACTCTCTCTCTCTCTCTGATATCACCACTCACTTGTCTTCAGACTATAGGTAAGAAGTGAAAAGTGGAAAAGATTTCATCCTTCTCACCTAGAGCATAGCACTTGCTGGGATAGATGTTTTTCACCCCTGAAAATAACAAAAACCAATCGTCGCCTGTTAACTCACATACGCTATTCACAGTATTCTTTATAAAAATAGTTTGACATGCAGAATTCACAACACAAAATCATGATGACGATAGATGTCAGATATCAGATCGTTAGACTCACCATAGATCTCCACTTCCTCATTGACGTTCACTAGTAGATGAAAACAAGTGTACGTGTGAATTGGTTAGAAAATATGCAGGACGTGACGTTCGAGTGGAGACGCAGACGACAACTAAGCAGCAGTCATCACAACCATGTCTGACGGTATACAGACTGAATGATGCATCACTGTCTTCTGTCTCTTTCTCTCTCTCTCTCTTTCTCTGTGTCTGACTGTATGTCTGCTCACACCGAGTGGTTGGTGCATTTGAATTCCAGTCTCCAGCGTACTGACCTCCACAAATCGCCTGCATTCCAATCTACTGAGAGTTCAGGTGTTCCATTGACGGCTCAGCGACTATCCATCGCCTCCACGAAATGATTCAGACAAGCACAGTGTGGATCAGCCCAGAAACTGACGAAATCTTTGTGGAATCATAGCTATGCACGCTGAGAAATTTGTAGCCACACACACTTGATAAGGAGATTGACACAGCGAGACGCAGTGGGATGGTCACGAGGATATGAAGCCCGTGAGAACTACACAAGGTAGACGCAGAGTGACTGTCATATCAGAAGTGGCCGTGAATGTGGAGATGCTTGCTACCCGCGCCTCTCACTCAATCAGCGGGTGACGAAATCGACAAATGTGGGATGGCGTAGAGAGTGAATATCCGAAATCTGTGACAATGTTGTGTCCGATTCAGCTGCAAACGACCACATGGAAGGAGACGCGTTGACATTCTTCGTGTCGAGAATAGAATATGTGAAAAGAATTGACAGCCAGTCACTCAGTAAATCACTCACTGACACACTCAATCACTTACTCAGTCTATGTGTCCACTTTCGTGGAGATGGTGACTACTGTCTGCTGTGCAAGAAGAGTACTGAATGAAACATGTATCTCATGTTGTGCATTATTCCGACTTGCTCAAATCTCTTTCACAAAAGTCATTCATTTATTCATTGGTATAGCCCCATCGAATTGAGCCTAACTGCACGAATCCGAATAGACTTCGGATGGATGGAGTATGAAATGTGACACGAAGTGGTTCTACATAGTAGAAATATAATTTAAGCTGTGTCAATCAGTATCTGGAAGCACTTACCCGTTGTTGTTTCTTCTTCAACTTGTTCTTTTGTTGTGTTTGTTGGTGAGGATGTGGGTGTGGTGACTGGCAGATCTGTCAGAAGAGAAGGGAAGAGAAGAGAATAGAAGTAGAACAGACGTGTCTCATCAGTTGTCACACCACTGACCTACGTGATAAACGTCAAATATACACTTCCCACATCATCAAGACCATCATGTGACTGGACGTGAGTGAATTAGAGAGACAAGGGTGTTTGTTGTCTCACGTCAAGTCGACGAATATATTCACATGCTCACAAAACTCACCTTGTGTTGTTGTTTCTTCAACAATATCTTCCATCACTGAAATGAGAGAGATTGAAAATTGATAGTATCAGGAATAGCACCAGAGTGGGAATATGACTTCCACAGTGACTGGCACATTTGTCACACACTCTCATCTCACACCAATGTGGAACACACAAAACCGTCTATGTTTGTTGCTCGTGGCTCCTCTGCAATACACATCAACTGTCACATTCCTTTCACATCGCCTGCATTGATTGCATATTCACCTGAATCCACAGAATTCACACACTCACATTTTCAATTGCATGTCAGCCAATGTGTGATGTGTTATCCATGATGCTCACTCACTCACTCAATCACTCACTGACACACACACACGCACTTCGATTTTGCAGTTCACACCCTACGTCACCAGTCTGCTGCTCCACACACACGAGCATCTCACTTTCTTCTCTCTCTCTCTCTCTCATACACACACACATATACTGTCCAACTAATTATCACAGGTCAGATTTCACGGAAAGCATTCAGAATCAACTGTCTCTCACTCTCTCTCTCTCTCTGATATCACCACTCACTTGTCTTCAGACTATAGGTAAGAAGTGAAAAGTGGAAAAGATTTCATCCTTCTCACCTAGAGCATAGCACTTGCTGGGATAGATGTTTTTCACCCCTGAAAATAACAAAAACCAATCGTCGCCTGTTAACTCACATACGCTATTCACAGTATTCTTTATAAAAATAGTTTGACATGCAGAATTCACAACACAAAATCATGATGACGATAGATGTCAGATATCAGATCGTTAGACTCACCATAGATCTCCACTTCCTCATTGACGTTCACTAGTAGATGAAAACAAGTGTACGTGTGAATTGGTTAGAAAATATGCAGGACGTGACGTTCGAGTGGAGACGCAGACGACAACTAAGCAGCAGTCATCACAACCATGTCTGACGGTATACAGACTGAATGATGCATCACTGTCTTCTGTCTCTTTCTCTCTCTCTCTCTTTCTCTGTGTCTGACTGTATGTCTGCTCACACCGAGTGGTTGGTGCATTTGAATTCCAGTCTCCAGCGTACTGACCTCCACAAATCGCCTGCATTCCAATCTACTGAGAGTTCAGGTGTTCCATTGACGGCTCAGCGACTATCCATCGCCTCCACGAAATGATTCAGACAAGCACAGTGTGGATCAGCCCAGAAACTGACGAAGTCTTTGTGGAATCATAGCTATGCACGCTGAGAAATTTGTAGCCACACACACTTGATAAGGAGATTGACACAGCGAGACGCAGTGGGATGGTCACGAGGATATGAAGCCCGTGAGAACTACACAAGGTAGACGCAGAGTGACTGTCATATCAGAAGTGGCCGTGAATGTGGAGATGCTTGCTACCCGCGCCTCTCACTCAATCAGCGGGTGACGAAATCGACAAATGTGGGATGGCGTAGAGAGTGAATATCCGAAATCTGTGACAATGTTGTGTCCGATTCAGCTGCAAACGACCACATGGAAGGAGACGCGTTGACATTCTTCGTGTCGAGAATAGAATATGTGAAAAGAATTGACAGCCAGTCACTCAGTAAATCACTCACTGACACACTCAATCACTTACTCAGTCTATGTGTCCACTTTCGTGGAGATGGTGACTACTGTCTGCTGTGCAAGAAGAGTACTGAATGAAACATGTATCTCATGTTGTGCATTATTCCGACTTGCTCAAATCTCTTTCACAAAAGTCATTCATTTATTCATTGGTATAGCCCCATCGAATTGAGCCTAACTGCACGAATCCGAATAGACTTCGGATGGATGGAGTATGAAATGTGACACGAAGTGGTTCTACATAGTAGAAATATAATTTAAGCTGTGTCAATCAGTATCTGGAAGCACTTACCCGTTGTTGTTTCTTCTTCAACTTGTTCTTTTGTTGTGTTTGTTGGTGAGGATGTGGGTGTGGTGACTGGCAGATCTGTCAGAAGAGAAGGGAAGAGAAGAGAATAGAAGTAGAACAGACGTGTCTCATCAGTTGTCACACCACTGACCTACGTGATAAACGTCAAATATACACTTCCCACATCATCAAGACCATCATGTGACTGGACGTGAGTGAATTAGAGAGACAAGGGTGTTTGTTGTCTCACGTCAACCCGTGAAAACTACGCCCGGTAGACGCAGAGTGACTGTCATATCAGAAGTGGCCGTGAATGTGGAGATGCTTGCTACCCGCGCCTCTCACTCAATCAGCGGGTGACGAAATCGACAAATGTGGGATGGCGTAGAGAGTGAATATCCGAAATCTGTGACAATGTTGTGTCCGATTCAGCTGCAAACGACCACATGGAAGGAGACGCGTTGACATTCTTCGTGTCGAGAATAGAATATGTGAAAAGAATTGACAGCCAGTCACTCAGTAAATCACTCACTGACACACTCAATCACTTACTCAGTCTATGTGTCCACTTTCGTGGAGATGGTGACTACTGTCTGCTGTGCAAGAAGAGTACTGAATGAAACATGTATCTCATGTTGTGCATTATTCCGACTTGCTCAAATCTCTTTCACAAAAGTCATTCATTTATTCATTGGTATAGCCCCATCGAATTGAGCCTAACTGCACGAATCCGAATAGACTTCGGATGGATGGAGTATGAAATGTGACACGAAGTGGTTCTACATAGTAGAAATATAATTTAAGCTGTGTCAATCAGTATCTGGAAGCACTTACCCGTTGTTGTTTCTTCTTCAACTTGTTCTTTTGTTGTGTTTGTTGGTGAGGATGTGGGTGTGGTGACTGGCAGATCTGTCAGAAGAGAAGGGAAGAGAAGAGAATAGAAGTAGAACAGACGTGTCTCATCAGTTGTCACACCACTGACCTACGTGATAAACGTCAAATATACACTTCCCACATCATCAAGACCATCATGTGACTGGACGTGAGTGAATTAGAGAGACAAGGGTGTTTGTTGTCTCACGTCAAGTCGACGAATATATTCACATGCTCACAAAACTCACCTTGTGTTGTTGTTTCTTCAACAATATCTTCCATCACTGAAATGAGAGAGATTGAAAATTGATAGTATCAGGAATAGCACCAGAGTGGGAATATGACTTCCACAGTGACTGGCACATTTGTCACACACTCTCATCTCACACCAATGTGGAACACACAAAACCGTCTATGTTTGTTGCTCGTGGCTCCTCTGCAATACACATCAACTGTCACATTCCTTTCACATCGCCTGCATTGATTGCATATTCACCTGAATCCACAGAATTCACACACTCACATTTTCAATTGCATGTCAGCCAATGTGTGATGTGTTATCCATGATGCTCACTCACTCACTCACTCACTCACTGACACACACACACGCACTTCGATTTTGCAGTTCACACCCTACGTCACCAGTCTGCTGCTCCACACACACGAGCATCTCACTTTCTTCTCTCTCTCTCTCTCTCATACACACACACATATACTGTCCAACTAATTATCACAGGTCAGATTTCACGGAAAGCATTCAGAATCAACTGTCTCTCACTCTCTCTCTCTCTCTGATATCACCACTCACTTGTCTTCAGACTATAGGTAAGAAGTGAAAAGTGGAAAAGATTTCATCCTTCTCACCTAGAGCATAGCACTTGCTGGGATAGATGTTTTTCACCCCTGAAAATAACAAAAACCAATCGTCGCCTGTTAACTCACATACGCTATTCACAGTATTCTTTATAAAAATAGTTTGACATGCAGAATTCACAACACAAAATCATGATGACGATAGATGTCAGATATCAGATCGTTAGACTCACCATAGATCTCCACTTCCTCATTGACGTTCACTAGTAGATGAAAACAAGTGTACGTGTGAATTGGTTAGAAAATATGCAGGACGTGACGTTCGAGTGGAGACGCAGACGACAACTAAGCAGCAGTCATCACAACCATGTCTGACGGTATACAGACTGAATGATGCATCACTGTCTTCTGTCTCTTTCTCTCTCTCTCTCTTTCTCTGTGTCTGACTGTATGTCTGCTCACACCGAGTGGTTGGTGCATTTGAATTCCAGTCTCCAGCGTACTGACCTCCACAAATCGCCTGCATTCCAATCTACTGAGAGTTCAGGTGTTCCATTGACGGCTCAGCGACTATCCATCGCCTCCACGAAATGATTCAGACAAGCACAGTGTGGATCAGCCCAGAAACTGACGAAGTCTTTGTGGAATCATAGCTATGCACGCTGAGAAATTTGTAGCCACACACACTTGATAAGGAGATTGACACAGCGAGACGCAGTGGGATGGTCACGAGGATATGAAGCCCGTGAGAACTACACAAGGTAGACGCAGAGTGACTGTCATATCAGAAGTGGCCGTGAATGTGGAGATGCTTGCTACCCGCGCCTCTCACTCAATCAGCGGGTGACGAAATCGACAAATGTGGGATGGCGTAGAGAGTGAATATCCGAAATCTGTGACAATGTTGTGTCCGATTCAGCTGCAAACGACCACATGGAAGGAGACGCGTTGACATTCTTCGTGTCGAGAATAGAATATGTGAAAAGAATTGACAGCCAGTCACTCAGTAAATCACTCACTGACACACTCAATCACTTACTCAGTCTATGTGTCCACTTTCGTGGAGATGGTGACTACTGTCTGCTGTGCAAGAAGAGTACTGAATGAAACATGTATCTCATGTTGTGCATTATTCCGACTTGCTCAAATCTCTTTCACAAAAGTCATTCATTTATTCATTGGTATAGCCCCATCGAATTGAGCCTAACTGCACGAATCCGAATAGACTTCGGATGGATGGAGTATGAAATGTGACACGAAGTGGTTCTACATAGTAGAAATATAATTTAAGCTGTGTCAATCAGTATCTGGAAGCACTTACCCGTTGTTGTTTCTTCTTCAACTTGTTCTTTTGTTGTGTTTGTTGGTGAGGATGTGGGTGTGGTGACTGGCAGATCTGTCAGAAGAGAAGGGAAGAGAAGAGAATAGAAGTAGAACAGACGTGTCTCATCAGTTGTCACACCACTGACCTACGTGATAAACGTCAAATATACACTTCCCACATCATCAAGACCATCATGTGACTGGACGTGAGTGAATTAGAGAGACAAGGGTGTTTGTTGTCTCACGTCAAGTCGACGAATATATTCACATGCTCACAAAACTCACCTTGTGTTGTTGTTTCTTCAACAATATCTTCCATCACTGAAATGAGAGAGATTGAAAATTGATAGTATCAGGAATAGCACCAGAGTGGGAATATGACTTCCACAGTGACTGGCACATTTGTCACACACTCTCATCTCACACCAATGTGGAACACACAAAACCGTCTATGTTTGTTGCTCGTGGCTCCTCTGCAATACACATCAACTGTCACATTCCTTTCACATCGCCTGCATTGATTGCATATTCACCTGAATCCACAGAATTCACACACTCACATTTTCAATTGCATGTCAGCCAATGTGTGATGTGTTATCCATGATGCTCACTCACTCACTCACTCACTCACTGACACACACACACGCACTTCGATTTTGCAGTTCACACCCTACGTCACCAGTCTGCTGCTCCACACACACGAGCATCTCACTTTCTTCTCTCTCTCTCTCTCTCATACACACACACATATACTGTCCAACTAATTATCATGCACGTGGATGAAACTGTGTTGGTGAAAATTAAAAAAATACAACCGTGGTCGCCAGCGAGCGAACAATATTTGGGTAATAGGTTAGGTTATACAACACTCACTTGTAGTCATTCAGATGAATATATGCACAGAATGTGGTGTAACTTTCCTATTGACAGTTCGATGCTTAACTGGGAGATGTTTCTCTCAAATGTTGGGGAAAGATACTCCGTGAAACTGTTTTATGATATTTTTATGATTTATTCTATAAATATACGTTTCCAATCATCGTAAATGCCACTTAAATGTGATTGGTCCGTTCAAAGAACATTTCTGATGGGTTGTGAGTGGTGTCCAAAATTTAACTTTGCATATAAAAGTTGAACATGCAGATTTCACAACACAAAATCATGATGACGATAGATGTCAGATATCAGATTGATAGACTCACCATAAATCTCCACCTCCTCGTCGACGTTCACTAGTAGACGAAAACAAGGATACGTGTGAATTGGTTAGAAAATATGCAGGACGCGACGTTTCAGTGGAGACGCACACGACAATTAAGCAGCAGTCATCACAACCATGTCTGACAATATGAAGACTGAGCGATGCAACACTGGCCCCTCTCTCTGTCTGTCTGTCTGTTTGTCTGCTCACACCGAGTGGTTGGTTCATTCGAATTCCAGTCTCCAGCGTACTGGCCTCCACAAATCGCCTGCATTACAATCTACTGTGAGATCAGGTGTTCCGTTGACGGCCCAGCGAGTATCAATCGCTTCCACGAAATGATTCAGAAAGCACAGTGTGGATCAGCTCAGAAACTGACGAAATCTTTGTGAAATCAAAGCTATGCACAATACGAAATTTGTAGCCATACTCACTTGATAAGGAGATTGACACAGTGAGACGCAGTGGGACACAGTGAGGCACATTGGGATAGTCACGAGGATATGAAGACCGTGATAACAACACAACAAAGACGCAGAGTGACTTTGCTATCAGAAGAGGCCGTGAATATTGAGATGCTACCCACGAAAGCTGAAGTCTTGAACGCTATCAAGCTTCTGAAACCTATAAAATACAGCCAAGGGACCCTATTAACAAGGGAGAAACACAGATTTAACAATGGGCGGATCACTTCAAAGGACTCTTGAACCGATCACCATCTGCATCCCGTCCAGAATTACCTACAGCAGCGCGTACACAACTGCAAGTTGACACCAATCCTCCAAGAAAAGCTGAAGTCTTGAACGCAATCAAGCTTCTGAAAGCTTGGAAAGCAGCTGGACAAGATGGAAAACCCACTGAAGCACTGAAAGCGGACACAGAGATGACAGCAAAAATGCTGACTCCATTATTGTGAAAGGTCTGGAAGGAGGGAATTATGCCTACTGACTGGAGGGATGGTTACCTTGTGAAATTACCAGAGAATGGCGACTTAGGACTCTGCAAGAACTGGCGAGGAACCATGATCCTTTAAACGCCTAGCAAAATACTAATCCGTATCATCCTGGAGAGAATAAAGGACGTACTGGATACAGAACTCCGACCAGAACAAGCTGGATTCAGGAAAGTCAGGCAAATCATGTACTGACCAAATTGCAACTCTACGCATCATCATCACAGAGCAAAGAATGGAATGGCAATCAAACATCTACCTCAACTTTATAGACTTTGAGAAGGCCTTCGACAGACAGCGTTGACCGCGAAGTAGTTAGGACACTACTCGAGTACTACTGTAACAACAGAAGACAAGGGCCAGGCAACAGATCGTTTTATTGTGAAAATCAACACGTATTTATACATCTTTCAACTACATTATTATAGACCAGCGCAGTCATCTGATTGGTTGTTTAGGTAGAAAAACGCAGGCTTCTGATTGGTTGTTTCGGGATTCCTTGACAAATAGAGTTCACTCTGCGAATCATATTCTGCCACGTTAACTTGCTGTGATTCGTTGTTGACTCAGGCTTGTTCATATTTTCTCGCCCATATTAGTGACCTAGACCTTAACGTAGATTAGTGCCAACCAATTGGCTAGCAGCCTGCTCTCACCACACTACGGCGTGCAGCGCCCAAATATTCATCAAGCTTATTCAACAGCTGTACGACAACGGTGGCACATGTCAAGTGATCCACAACGGAAAACTCAGCCAGGCGTTTGGAGTAAACACAGGAGTCAGACAAGGGTGCCTGCGTATTATCACCAATAAATGATATTCCTAATTGTGTTGAACTGACTGGATTATGCGTCAGACAATCAGTGGGAAACGAGAAGACAGGGATATCCTGGAGCGACGTGATGAAACTAGAAGACGTGGATCTCGCGAGTCGATGATTTATGTAGGATGTCAAACAAAATCGAAGACTTACAGACGAAAACCCACCGACAAACTGGTGGAAGAGGCGGCCGGAGAAGAGAGGACTCCAGGTGAACATTGACAAGACGGAGGTTATGAAAATAAACAACCAACAACAACAACAACAACAAAAACAGAAACATCCAGCGTCAAAAACACCATCAACGGGAGGGATTTGAAACAGGTTACTTCACTCACTCACTCACTTATCTAGGGAGCATTGTCTCAACTACAGGCCACAGAAACGGACGAGGATGTCAAATCGAGCGAGAATCGGGTGGGGGGCGACAAACACACACATTCATCAACCAACTGAAACCAATCTGGATAGCAATCTTCGTCACTCAGCCAGCCAGCATCAACAACAAAATCCAGTCGGATTTCCAATACAAACAAAGTCAAGTCAGTCAGTTTGTATACACGGAACGGATCAGAAAGTTGGCGGGCGGGCGGGCGGATCACAAACAATATTTCCAACAGCCTGTTGCAGACCTTCATCAACCAACAACTGTCTTCGCTGGCTGTATACTGAAGATCAGATGGCCGGCCGGCCGGCCGGGCCGGAAAGAATCACCAACTATGGGAAACTGTGGTCACAAACAAACAAAACAAGAAGCAATAACCCAACCAACAAATATGCAGGAGAAAGTGCATTGAGATGGATTGGAGACTCGTGGCTGAGTAGGCCGCCGCTGGGTGACATCGCGCGCGCGTCAGGCCATTGCTCGAGTGGAACCAGGCCGAAGGGGAAGCGGCGACTGGGATGTCAGGGCAAGGGTGGGTGACATGGAGGAGATTGTGTGATGAAGAGGAGTTGAAACAGTATGGACTGACTAACATGGATGGATGCAGGTGAAAAGTACAGCAGAAGGAAGACAGAAACAAATGGAGACATGCAGTTGGAGAAATATGTTCCATTATGAACGAAAGGGAACAGTAAATATACACTAGAACCCGATCATCTCACTCAATCAGCGGGTGACGAAGTCGACAAGTGTGGAATGGTGTGGAGTGAATATCCGAAATCTGTGACAATGTTGTTCCGATTCAGATGGAAATGAGCACGTGGAAGGAGATGCGTTGACATTCTTCGTGTCGAGAATAGAATATGTGCAAAACAGTGACAGTCACTCACTCACTCACTCACTCAGTCAGTCTCTGTGTACACTTTCGTGGAGATGGTGACTACTGTCGACTGTGCAAGAACAGAACTGAATGAAACAGGTATCTCATGTTGTGCATTATTCCGACTGACTCAAAACTCCTTCACACAAGCCATTCATTCATTAATTCATTCTGTCATTGCTTGCTACAGTCCCAACGAATTGAGCCTAACTGCACGAATCCGAATAGACTTCGGATGGATGGAGTATGACATGTGACACAAGTGGTTCTACATAGTAGAAATATAATTTAAGCAGTGTCAACCAGTATCTGAATGGTCTTACCCGTTGTTGTTTCTTCTTCAACTTGTTCTTCTGTTGTATTTGCTGTGGGTGTGGGTGTGGTGACTGGCAGAGCTGTCAGAAGAGAAGAGAGAGAAGATAAGAGAATAGAAGTAGAACAGACGTGTCTCATCAGTTGTCACACCACTGACCTACGTGATAAATGTAAAATACCCACTTCCCACATCATCAAGATCATCATCTGACTGGACGTGAGTGAATTAGAGAGACAAGGGTGTTTGTTGTCTCACGTCAAGTCGACGAATATATTCACGTAGTCACAAAACTCACCTTGTGTTGTTGCCTGCACAACAAGATTTTTCTTCATTGAAACGGGAGAGATTGAAAATTGAGAGTATCGCGAATAGCACCAGAGTGGGAATATGACTTCCACAGTGACTGGCACATTTGTCACACACTCTCATCTCACACCAATGTGGAACACACGAAAGCGTCTATGTTTGTTGCTCGTGCCTCCTCTGCAATACACATCAACTGTCACATTCCTATCACATCGCCTGCATTGATTGCATATTCATCTGAATCCACAGAATTCATATACTCACATTTTCAATTGCATGTCAGCCAATGTGTTATGTGTTATCTATGATGCTCACTCACTCACTCACTCACCACACACTCACTCACTCACTCACAAACACACACACACACAATTCGATTCGAATTTCCTCCCTTCTGTCACCAGTCTGCTGCTCCACACACGATCATCTCACTTTCTACACACACACACACATATATATATATATATATGTATACTGTCCAAATAATTATCACAGGTCAGATTTCACGGAGAGCATTCAGAATCTCCGCTCTCTGATATCACCACTCACTTGTCTTCAGAATATAGGTAAGAAGTGAAAAGTGGAAAAGATTTCATCCTTCTCACCTAGAGTATAGCACTTGCTGGGATAGATGTTTTTGACCCCTGAAAATAAGAAAAACCAGTCGTCGCCTGTTAACTAACATACGCTATTCACAGTTTTCTATATATAGATGGGCCAAGTTAAACTTTAAGCGCCATTCACTACCAATCAGCGAACGACTTCGAATTATCCGGTGATATTCACGAACGTTACTTCAATGTTGTATACCGCTTGATTCGTTTGAAATGCGTGCCCTAACAAGATTACGGTCGCAATTCGAGGAGGACCGTGTTTTCCAGTGTTGGCTGGATTTAGTGTTGCTCCGGAAGGAGCGAACCTGTTCGTGTGGTGGTGTCATGACCTTGAAAAGCTATGGCAGGTCAACTGATGGATTTGTCCATCGTTGGGCAATATGCTTGAAGCGAGTTAGCATAAGAGACGGTAAGCTGATAATTTTAATATTTCGTAGGAACTAATTTTGCAAGGTCACACCTCTCCTTGACGCAAATTTGGTATATCTGCAACTACTCAGTACTGAAACAGCCAGTGAGAGCCGCAGCTTCTGAGACGGAGAATAGCCTCGTCTCAACAGTTCAATGGTACCAGCATTGCAGAGATATCCATTCTTCGAAAATTGAGAAAATCAATTCTTTGTTGGGTGGAGAATACGTTGTTGTGCACGTGGATGAAACTGTGTTGGTGAAAATAAAAAATACAACCGTGGTCGCCAGCGAGCGAACAATATTTGGGTAATAGGTTAGGTTATACAACACTCATTTGTAGTCATTCAGATGAATATATGCACAGAATGTGGTGTAACTTTCCTATTGACAGTTCGATGCTTAACTGGGAGATGTTTCTCTCAAATGTTGGGGAAAGATACTCCGTGAAACTGTTTTATGATATTTTTATGATTTATTCTATAAATATACGTTTCCAATCATCGTAAATGCCACTTAAATGTGATTGGTCCGTTCAAAGAACATTTCTGATGGGTTGTGAGTGGTGTCCAAAATTTAACTTTGCATATAAAAGTTGAACATGCAGATTTCACAACACAAAATCATGATGACGATAGATGTCAGATATCAGATTGATAGACTCACCATAAATCTCCACCTCCTCGTCGACGTTCACTAGTAGACGAAAACAAGGATACGTGTGAATTGGTTAGAAAATATGCAGGACGCGACGTTTCAGTGGAGACGCACACGACAATTAAGCAGCAGTCATCACAACCATGTCTGACAATATGAAGACTGAGCGATGCAACACTGGCCCCTCTCTCTGTCTGTCTGTCTGTTTGTCTGCTCACACCGAGTGGTTGGTTCATTCGAATTCCAGTCTCCAGCGTACTGGCCTCCACAAATCGCCTGCATTACAATCTACTGTGAGATCAGGTGTTCCGTTGACGGCCCAGCGAGTATCAATCGCTTCCACGAAATGATTCAGAAAGCACAGTGTGGATCAGCTCAGAAACTGACGAAATCTTTGTGAAATCAAAGCTATGCACAATACGAAATTTGTAGCCATACTCACTTGATAAGGAGATTGACACAGTGAGACGCAGTGGGACACAGTGAGGCACATTGGGATAGTCACGAGGATATGAAGACCGTGATAACAACACAACAAAGACGCAGAGTGACTTTGCTATCAGAAGAGGCCGTGAATATTGAGATGCTACCCACGAAAGCTGAAGTCTTGAACGCTATCAAGCTTCTGAAACCTATAAAATACAGCCAAGGGACCCTATTAACAAGGGAGAAACACAGATTTAACAATGGGCGGATCACTTCAAAGGACTCTTGAACCGATCACCATCTGCATCCCGTCCAGAATTACCTACAGCAGCGCGTACACAACTGCAAGTTGACACCAATCCTCCAAGAAAAGCTGAAGTCTTGAACGCAATCAAGCTTCTGAAAGCTTGGAAAGCAGCTGGACAAGATGGAAAACCCACTGAAGCACTGAAAGCGGACACAGAGATGACAGCAAAAATGCTGACTCCATTATTGTGAAAGGTCTGGAAGGAGGGAATTATGCCTACTGACTGGAGGGATGGTTACCTTGTGAAATTACCAGAGAATGGCGACTTAGGACTCTGCAAGAACTGGCGAGGAACCATGATCCTTTAAACGCCTAGCAAAATACTAATCCGTATCATCCTGGAGAGAATAAAGGACGTACTGGATACAGAACTCCGACCAGAACAAGCTGGATTCAGGAAAGTCAGGCAAATCATGTACTGACCAAATTGCAACTCTACGCATCATCATCACAGAGCAAAGAATGGAATGGCAATCAAACATCTACCTCAACTTTATAGACTTTGAGAAGGCCTTCGACAGACAGCGTTGACCGCGAAGTAGTTAGGACACTACTCGAGTACTACGGCGTGCAGCGCCCAAATATTCATCAAGCTTATTCAACAGCTGTACGACAACGGTGGCACATGTCAAGTGATCCACAACGGAAAACTCAGCCAGGCGTTTGGAGTAAACACAGGAGTCAGACAAGGGTGCCTGCGTATTATCACCAATAAATGATATTCCTAATTGTGTTGAACTGACTGGATTATGCGTCAGACAATCAGTGGGAAACGAGAAGACAGGGATATCCTGGAGCGACGTGATGAAACTAGAAGACGTGGATCTCGCGAGTCGATGATTTATGTAGGATGTCAAACAAAATCGAAGACTTACAGACGAAAACCCACCGACAAACTGGTGGAAGAGGCGGCCGGAGAAGAGAGGACTCCAGGTGAACATTGACAAGACGGAGGTTATGAAAATAAACAACCAACAACAACAACAACACAAACAGAAACATCCAGCGTCAAACACCATCAACGGGAGGGATTTGAAACAGGTTACTTCACTCACTCACTCACTTATCTAGGGAGCATTGTCTCAACTACAGGCCACAGAAACGGACGAGGATGTCAAATCGAGCGAGAATCGGGTGGGGGGCGACAAACACACACATTCATCAACCAACTGAAACCAATCTGGATAGCAATCTTCGTCACTCAGCCAGCCAGCATCAACAACAAAATCCAGTCGGATTTCCAATACAAACAAAGTCAAGTCAGTCAGTTTGTATACACGGAACGGATCAGAAAGTTGGCGGGCGGGCGGGCGGATCACAAACAATATTTCCAACAGCCTGTTGCAGACCTTCATCAACCAACAACTGTCTTCGCTGGCTGTATACTGAAGATCAGATGGCCGGCCGGCCGGCCGGGCCGGAAAGAATCACCAACTATGGGAAACTGTGGTCACAAACAAACAAAACAAGAAGCAATAACCCAACCAACAAATATGCAGGAGAAAGTGCATTGAGATGGATTGGAGACTCGTGGCTGAGTAGGCCGCCGCTCGGTGACATCGCGCGCGCGTCAGGCCATTGCTCGAGTGGAACCAGGCCGAAGGGGAAGCGGCGACTGGGATGTCAGGGCAAGGGTGGGTGACATGGAGGAGATTGTGTGATGAAGAGGAGTTGAAACAGTATGGACTGACTAACATGGATGGATGCAGGTGAAAAGTACAGCAGAAGGAAGACAGAAACAAATGGAGACATGCAGTTGGAGAAATATGTTCCATTATGAACGAAAGGGAACAGTAAATATACACTAGAACCCGATCATCTCACTCAATCAGCGGGTGACGAAGTCGACAAGTGTGGAATGGTGTGGAGTGAATATCCGAAATCTGTGACAATGTTGTTCCGATTCAGATGGAGATGAGCACGTGGAAGGAGATGCGTTGACATTCTTCGTGTCGAGAATAGAATATGTGCAAAACAGTGACAGTCACTCACTCACTCACTCACTCAGTCTCTGTGTACACTTTCGTGGAGATGGTGACTACTGTCGACTGTGCAAGAACAGAACTGAATGAAACAGGTATCTCATGTTGTGCATTATTCCGACTGACTCAAAACTCCTTCACACAAGCCATTCATTCATTAATTCATTCTGTCATTGCTTGCTACAGTCCCAACGAATTGAGCCTAACTGCACGAATCCGAATAGACTTCGGATGGATGGAGTATGACATGTGACACAAGTGGTTCTACATAGTAGAAATATAATTTAAGCAGTGTCAACCAGTATCTGAATGGTCTTACCCGTTGTTGTTTCTTCTTCAACTTGTTCTTCTGTTGTATTTGCTGTGGGTGTGGGTGTGGTGACTGGCAGAGCTGTCAGAAGAGAAGAGAAGATAAGAGAATAGAAGTAGAACAGACGTGTCTCATCAGTTGTCACACCACTGACCTACGTGATAAATGTAAAATACCCACTTCCCACATCATCAAGATCATCATCTGACTGGACGTGAGTGAATTAGAGAGACAAGGGTGTTTGTTGTCTCACGTCAAGTCGACGAATATATTCACGTAGTCACAAAACTCACCTTGTGTTGTTGCCTGCACAACAAGATTTTTCTTCATTGAAATGGGAGAGATTGAAAATTGAGAGTATCGCGAATAGCACCAGAGTGGGAATATGACTTCCACAGTGACTGGCACATTTGTCACACACTCTCATCTCACACCAATGTGGAACACACGAAAGCGTCTATGTTTGTTGCTCGTGCCTCCTCTGCAATACACATCAACTGTCACATTCCTATCACATCGCCTGCATTGATTGCATATTCATCTGAATCCACAGAATTCATATACTCACATTTTCAATTGCATGTCAGCCAATGTGTTATGTGTTATCTATGATGCTCACTCACTCACTCACTCACAAACACACACACACACACACAATTCGATTCGAATTTCCCGCCTCCCGTCACCAGTCTGCTGCTCCACACACGATCATCTCACTTTCTACACACACACACACATATATATATATATATATATGTATACTGTCCAAATAATTATCACAGGTCAGATTTCACGGAGAGCATTCAGAATCTCCGCTCTCTGATATCACCACTCACTTGTCTTCAGAATATAGGTAAGAAGTGAAAAGTGGAAAAGATTTCATCCTTCTCACCTAGAGTATAGCACATGCTGGGATAGATGTTTTTGACCCCTGAAAATAA